ATATATATATACATATTAAGCAGCTATATTTTATTATAGTGTACATTGAACGACAATCTCAGTTGATGAACATGTGGTTTTGCTATGGACTACTGCTGATAAATAAGATTATGTGTCAAATGGCTTTCAAATATTTCCTCATCTGTGAAGTCTTTATTTGACCTGATATTGTTAAATTTTATCTGAGAACAATGCAGCGTTATACTTTAATGAAGTATTTGAACAATGGATAAGAAAGAGGTATAATCACTATTCTATCCACATGGTATCATACATACGTGGAAACACTTCATGTTTCTATCCATAATTCATTGACTGAAGTGAATTCGAAGAAAAACTTCCAGTCTTCAGCTTATTCATTTGATTGTCCGTCAGCTTATTTGACAACATTGTCTACTCTGGTTATCCAAAGGGAAATAAAAAAGTGTATAAACAGTTTCATTGTTGATCACCCTGTCACCGCTGAACATCTGATCCCTCCCTCCTAATATTTTACTCAAAGCAAGTTTGCCAGTGCCTTCTCACATTTCCAATAGCCTGGAACTGTGTCATCTACACAGCAGGATCATTAACAACCTTACGCCTGACTGATCCTAACATTCAAAAACATTACGTACACTCATTAGATACACCATGATCAAAGTAGTAAGTTTTTTCCCTTTTCAAACATTATAGTACTCACTTTTCCCTCCCTGCTATCCCCTCCTCCTCCTCATTTTCCGCCTATTCGATTCCACGAAATAAACCATACCCAGTGGTCACCTTGGCAGACTAGTTTGTCTTGCCGATAGGTGTGTGTTCACAGTGATTACCTGCTCGTGTGGAGCAATGTACATCGGTCGTAGTCACACACTGCTGTCAACACGTATACCAGATCACATTCTGGCCTAGTTTTATAAGGGTCAAAGCAAATGTATCACAAGTTCTATCCTTGAACATTTAATCGATTCCAACCATTCAGTTGATGCAAACAAGCATTTCAAGGTTGTCTATCGAATTCGCCCAACAACACAACACGTTTACTGAATGAAGTCTGACCTTTGTGTGCAGAAGAAGTACGTACAGTCTTTGTCTCTCTCTCTCTCTACCTTGGCCCCGAATTGATTTTAGTCTTGGTCGGCTTCTTCCGTTTTTCCTTTTGTATTCATTTTTCTCCATTATTATTTCATTTGATCTTCCTAATTATCGCAATTCCTAACAAAACCTTTTACAATTTACTCCAATTAATTCGTCTCGTTTAGATCACCTAATCCTTTGATTGTTTATTCATCTTCTCAACCCTTTTAATCTATATGCACTTTATAAACGACTTCAAAGTCTTACGTAACCCCTTCTTCTTACCATTCGATCTTTACGTCATCAATTATCAACATTATATAATTATCACCACCATCATCATTAATATTGTCGTTTGTTTCAACCCCCCATCATTTCAGTTAAATCCTCCTCACGGATAACGTACAGTCTTTAGATATCATATATATACGAATGTACAGCTAGCTTCAGAATAAATTCGTTGAAAAGAGTCGTCTTCGCTGAATATCTCGGTTTTCATCTATCTGATCAAATTTCAAAACGACACCAATCCATCAGTCACATATCGCTGCTATTTCTCAACACATATACGTCAATCTCATTGTAGATGTATTCACTGGTTGAATGAATAGATACACCTACATCACCATCCATGCACACGCCCATCTACTCATCACCATCACTCTTCTCCCTTCAACCCAACCCTAAACACACACACACACACACACACATCTTCCTTCCTCCGTCCGCTTTCTATTACTACCAATTCTCTCCGTAATACATTCATTAACATTACTCACATCCTACAATTATTCCCTTTTACTACATACCTACCTACCTACCTACCTACCGTGAATTTCATACCCTATCCAAAATATTCCCTCCAGTAAACAAATTGATTCTTATCACTCCACTCACCATTTCAACTATTCATTCTATTGACAAGATAAACAGATAGGTAGGTAGATAAACTCAACGGTATAATATATATGTATATTATGATGTAAACTAGAAGAGATTATAAGTTTTAACAAAAGAAATATGTTCATCAATTGATGAAAGAACAAACACTGGTGCCATGCCATGCCGTGCCATACACTCAGTCAGTCAATCAGTCAGTCAACAGGTAGATGAAGAAGAGAGGCCTTCCAAACTCAGGAATAAACATGTCGACTTCAAACAGCTGATGTAGGCACCCGAATACCAGATCATCTGAAACATAAATCACAAAATGTAACATTCAAACCTCTGTTGAAAACATAAAACAATTCATAGTTCATATATATTCACATATTCACATGTTTCCCACCCAACATGTCACATCACATCACAACATCAACACCAGTCAGTCCTTGCATAACACAACATAACACATTACCACAATTATGTTAATTAGTACCACAATATGTAGGATTGTATTTACCACAGTAGTAGTATTCATTCAACGTCGAATAGATATTCTCCTTCTTCTTCTAGCAGCATCAGTGATGATCACAGTCATGTCGTTAGTGTTACACTGCAATTCAATTCTGATATTATTCCACTCACAAACTTCCACTGAACATTAACTCTGACTAAAACTGAAAATCTTTTACATGATCATCACATGATTCAGCTATTTTTAGACATAAGCCACACACACACACACACACCTCAACATCAACTTCAGTGTGTACTTTAAATTAAATTTAAATCAGGCAGTTCGCCCACCCCCCAACCCCAACCCCCACCCCCTTCACAACTCTCCCATCCCGTAAATCACCATCATGTATATAATTTCAAATGACACAACGCAATCACCACATGGATTCCACTCTCAACATACAGCACTTAGTTCTCTCTCTCCCTCTCTCTCTCTCTTGCTTGACACACAGCCGACTAACTATGCATACAACTTAATATAATGCATGTTATCACATTAATTACACATGATGATGATGATGATGATTTTGATTCGATTTGAATTGAATTGAATTTTCTTCATTCATACCATCCACCTGTTTGTTTTCTTGTCACTGCAACACCCCTACCCCTACACCTACACCTACTCCTACTCCATATCACTTTCAGCATCAGCATCACATTACAAATTTCATGATAAATAATTGACCTGATCAAATGTTGCAGCCTGTTATTCATTGAGAACCCAATCATGATGATGATGATGATGATGATGGCGCATGAAGTGGATCCATGATAATAAATAGTTGACCTGTTCAAATGTTGCAGCCTGTTATCCATTTGAAACAAAATCATAATCACAATCATGATGATGGTGATGATGGTGCTTGTCAAAATCGGTACACAGCTTATTTACTTCACGTGTGAAGTAGGCTTGAAACGTATAATTTCTTTCTCATGATTCCTGATTCCATTAACAACAACAACAACACCCCTTCAAAAATATCTGGCCCCCTTTCCAAATCAGTCAGTCAAATTATGTTGTATATAAACCACCTTTCGAACTACTACCACTACCACTACTGCCAACCAGCAGGATAGTCAAGTAACTAACTAACTAACTAACTAACCAATCAACCAACCAACTAACTGATTCCATAATTTATAACATTGACGATTGAAGGGGTGACGTCGAGGTTTATATTCATTCCAATTCTTGTTTCATTTTCTACTAGTCAATTACTTACTAACAACAAATTGATTGATTGTTTGCAATCAAAATCATATATCAAATTATACAAGATTCGATCGAAATCGTACAGAAAGTGCCTACCTACCATATGCCTGAAAAAATGTTTCTTGTTTGCATAACAATAATACGACTGACTGATTGACTAACTGACTGACTGTGTATCAATTGATCGACAACAAATTATTTTTTCGCAAACGATTCCTCCCTCACTACCTCTCTATCAGCCTTCAACCCCTGGACTGGACTGGAGTGGAGTGGAATCCGCCAACTGTCTGTCTATACCAGCCGATCATTTCACAATCATCAAATTGCTCAAGTCATAAAGGAGTTACTTACATCTACATCTACATCTACCAAATAAGTAAGTAAGTAAGTAGGTAATATTTTCTTTATATTATTGTAGAATTCATTAGGCTTGACACCCACAGTCGTCTGTCTTCTGTAGGGTTAGGAGGTTAGGGTGAGACAAAGTTTTCAGATAGACGAAATCATTGTAAAGCAGCCTTGCAAGTAAAGTAAACAAGTGGATCGATCCATCGATGGATCGTTTAGGGTTAGCTGCCGACGAATTCCACACGAGTAGTAGCAATGTCAGAGAAAAGACTCATATCATCAAAGTAGCCAAACAAAAAGTGTATGGCAGGAAGCAAGGCAAGACAAGGCAAGGAGAAGAAGAAGAGGAAGAGGGAAATTGAAAATATCACACCTAGTCAAGCTTAGCTTTAGATTAGAAGACGACGTAAAAGAGTGACCAAATCTGTGCCATTGTGGCCCATTTCACCTAGAGTCAGTCAGTCAGTCAGTCAGTCAACCACTAATTCGTATTATCTAAGATATTCCCACCCCTAGCCACCCACCCACCCCCACTCACCCACTCACCCACTCAGTCAGTCGGTCATTCCTCAGACATCTCGTTCGCATATCAGTCAGTCATCAACATCGGGGGATAATGACTAGAGAACAAATAACAAACATTTCAACTGGTCTCATCTCATCTCATCTCATCTCGTGTGATCGTGAATTCACGCTACTCGCATAATAGGCTAGATAGTCAATATTATCCATTTGATTGAAGAATATGTCGAGTAATAATAATAGTAATGTAATAATGATAATTTAGCTACCAACTATTATTTATTTCTCTCTTGGCTTCCTCCACCTCCTCCTCCTCCCAGTGGGCGGGCTGGCTGACTGACTGACTGACTGGTTGTCAAATATAACATGATTTAAAAGTGAGTCCATGAAGATAATAATAATAATAATAATAATAATAATAATAATAATAATAATGATAAATGTCATAGAAACTCACGTTTATGAGATATATTGTGTTTAGCACAGGAGAGATAAAATTCTTGTGCTCACTCGACCACAATTTCTGGTAATAAGATATAGACTTTTGTAACAGAAAATAGATCTTCTTCTTCTTCTTCTTCTTCTTCCTCGTCTCCTTCTTCTTTGTTCTCTTACTCCCTGTAAAGCAATGAGATTGATGCAAAGGTGAGATGAGTTTGTGTGGAGCAGGAGAATGAATTCAGTTGACAGCAGAATCAATCAAGATTTTTGTTTTCACTTCTCCGACCGCTCACTCTCTGCCGACTGACTGACTGACTGACTCACGGATAATTTAGTAGTCAACGCCTGAATAACAAACACTTTCTCGGGCTTCTTCTTCTTTGTCAAATTGCTTCTCTTGTCCAAGTTGCAGCAGCTCTTGTTTTGCTTATGATAGACTATGACAGACTTCTTCATCATCATCATCATCAATAGGATACTAGCGATAATAGTGCAGCTAACGAAAACCACTCTTCCCCTTGGCACCAACCAATTAGCCGAAAACAATTTTCTCTCGCTGTAATTATCATTATTTTAAGCATGTGATATTCGGCTCGGTTATTTATATTCAGTATTACTTCTACTACTACTGACTTTCAACGTGCGCCATTGGTCTCGATTGACGACCATTCATGAACAAGTTGGTCAGTCAGTCAGTCAGTCTCTCCTCTCTCTGGCCTTTCCGTAAACGAGACGTGAGAATCAGGCAGTTCGCCCACCCCCCAACCCCAACCCCCACCCCCTTCACAACTCTCCCATCCCGTAAATCACCATCATGTATATAATTTCAAATGACACAACGCAATCACCACATGGATTCCACTCTCAACATACAGCACTTAGTTCTCTCTCTCCCTCTCTCTCTCTCTTGCTTGACACACAGCCGACTAACTATGCATACAACTTAATATAATGCATGTTATCACATTAATTACACATGATGATGATGATGATGATGATTTTGATTCGATTTGAATTGAATTGAATTTTCTTCATTCATACCATCCACCTGTTTGTTTTCTTGTCACTGCAACACCCCTACCCCTACACCTACACCTACTCCTACTCCATATCACTTTCAGCATCAGCATCACATTACAAATTTCATGATAAATAATTGACCTGATCAAATGTTGCAGCCTGTTATTCATTGAGAACCCAATCATGATGATGATGATGATGATGATGGCGCATGAAGTGGATCCATGATAATAAATAGTTGACCTGTTCAAATGTTGCAGCCTGTTATCCATTTGAAACAAAATCATAATCACAATCATGATGATGGTGATGATGGTGCTTGTCAAAATCGGTACACAGCTTATTTACTTCACGTGTGAAGTAGGCTTGAAACGTATAATTTCTTTCTCATGATTCCTGATTCCATTAACAACAACAACAACACCCCTTCAAAAATATCTGGCCCCCTTTCCAAATCAGTCAGTCAAATTATGTTGTATATAAACCACCTTTCGAACTACTACCACTACCACTACTGCCAACCAGCAGGATAGTCAAGTAACTAACTAACTAACTAACTAACCAATCAACCAACCAACTAACTGATTCCATAATTTATAACATTGACGATTGAAGGGGTGACGTCGAGGTTTATATTCATTCCAATTCTTGTTTCATTTTCTACTAGTCAATTACTTACTAACAACAAATTGATTGATTGTTTGCAATCAAAATCATATATCAAATTATACAAGATTCGATCGAAATCGTACAGAAAGTGCCTACCTACCATATGCCTGAAAAAATGTTTCTTGTTTGCATAACAATAATACGACTGACTGATTGACTAACTGACTGACTGTGTATCAATTGATCGACAACAAATTATTTTTTCGCAAACGATTCCTCCCTCACTACCTCTCTATCAGCCTTCAACCCCTGGACTGGACTGGAGTGGAGTGGAATCCGCCAACTGTCTGTCTATACCAGCCGATCATTTCACAATCATCAAATTGCTCAAGTCATAAAGGAGTTACTTACATCTACATCTACATCTACCAAATAAGTAAGTAAGTAAGTAGGTAATATTTTCTTTATATTATTGTAGAATTCATTAGGCTTGACACCCACAGTCGTCTGTCTTCTGTAGGGTTAGGAGGTTAGGGTGAGACAAAGTTTTCAGATAGACGAAATCATTGTAAAGCAGCCTTGCAAGTAAAGTAAACAAGTGGATCGATCCATCGATGGATCGTTTAGGGTTAGCTGCCGACGAATTCCACACGAGTAGTAGCAATGTCAGAGAAAAGACTCATATCATCAAAGTAGCCAAACAAAAAGTGTATGGCAGGAAGCAAGGCAAGACAAGGCAAGGAGAAGAAGAAGAGGAAGAGGGAAATTGAAAATATCACACCTAGTCAAGCTTAGCTTTAGATTAGAAGACGACGTAAAAGAGTGACCAAATCTGTGCCATTGTGGCCCATTTCACCTAGAGTCAGTCAGTCAGTCAGTCAGTCAACCACTAATTCGTATTATCTAAGATATTCCCACCCCTAGCCACCCACCCACCCCCACTCACCCACTCACCCACTCAGTCAGTCGGTCATTCCTCAGACATCTCGTTCGCATATCAGTCAGTCATCAACATCGGGGGATAATGACTAGAGAACAAATAACAAACATTTCAACTGGTCTCATCTCATCTCATCTCATCTCGTGTGATCGTGAATTCACGCTACTCGCATAATAGGCTAGATAGTCAATATTATCCATTTGATTGAAGAATATGTCGAGTAATAATAATAGTAATGTAATAATGATAATTTAGCTACCAACTATTATTTATTTCTCTCTTGGCTTCCTCCACCTCCTCCTCCTCCCAGTGGGCGGGCTGGCTGACTGACTGACTGACTGGTTGTCAAATATAACATGATTTAAAAGTGAGTCCATGAAGATAATAATAATAATAATAATAATAATAATAATAATAATAATGATAAATGTCATAGAAACTCACGTTTATGAGATATATTGTGTTTAGCACAGGAGAGATAAAATTCTTGTGCTCACTCGACCACAATTTCTGGTAATAAGATATAGACTTTTGTAACAGAAAATAGATCTTCTTCTTCTTCTTCTTCTTCCTCGTCTCCTTCTTCTTTGTTCTCTTACTCCCTGTAAAGCAATGAGATTGATGCAAAGGTGAGATGAGTTTGTGTGGAGCAGGAGAATGAATTCAGTTGACAGCAGAATCAATCAAGATTTTTGTTTTCACTTCTCCGACCGCTCACTCTCTGCCGACTGACTGACTGACTGACTCACGGATAATTTAGTAGTCAACGCCTGAATAACAAACACTTTCTCGGGCTTCTTCTTCTTTGTCAAATTGCTTCTCTTGTCCAAGTTGCAGCAGCTCTTGTTTTGCTTATGATAGACTATGACAGACTTCTTCATCATCATCATCATCAATAGGATACTAGCGATAATAGTGCAGCTAACGAAAACCACTCTTCCCCTTGGCACCAACCAATTAGCCGAAAACAATTTTCTCTCGCTGTAATTATCATTATTTTAAGCATGTGATATTCGGCTCGGTTATTTATATTCAGTATTACTTCTACTACTACTGACTTTCAACGTGCGCCATTGGTCTCGATTGACGACCATTCATGAACAAGTTGGTCAGTCAGTCAGTCAGTCTCTCCTCTCTCTGGCCTTTCCGTAAACGAGACGTGAGAATCAGGCAGTTCGCCCACCCCCCAACCCCAACCCCCACCCCCTTCACAACTCTCCCATCCCGTAAATCACCATCATGTATATAATTTCAAATGACACAACGCAATCACCACATGGATTCCACTCTCAACATACAGCACTTAGTTCTCTCTCTCCCTCTCTCTCTCTCTTGCTTGACACACAGCCGACTAACTATGCATACAACTTAATATAATGCATGTTATCACATTAATTACACATGATGATGATGATGATGATGATTTTGATTCGATTTGAATTGAATTGAATTTTCTTCATTCATACCATCCACCTGTTTGTTTTCTTGTCACTGCAACACCCCTACCCCTACACCTACACCTACTCCTACTCCATATCACTTTCAGCATCAGCATCACATTACAAATTTCATGATAAATAATTGACCTGATCAAATGTTGCAGCCTGTTATTCATTGAGAACCCAATCATGATGATGATGATGATGATGATGGCGCATGAAGTGGATCCATGATAATAAATAGTTGACCTGTTCAAATGTTGCAGCCTGTTACAAAGGCCTGTTACAAAAAGGCCAATTTTAGATTTACTCACTATTTTGTCATCTAGTTTCAGTAATAATATATCTGATAACCTATTAACAGTTCTCAGTGTACTGCTCAGTAGCCATTTATTTTGTCCAGCTGAACTACTGTGAGACAAGAAAGGGTTAGGTAGATATGAGAAGGTTATAGATTTTCAATCACTCATCACTTCAGATAACTAACTGGTCATGTGTAGTAGAACGAAACAGTGGCCAAATTTTCAGCTAAGGCATAGAATACAAGGGGAAGAAGAGAGCTGAGTAAATGAGGAGGATGCAAGTATCTACCGACTAATGTAAGTCAGACAAATGTTCGTGATGGTCAACTGTAGATTTAGTTGGTTGGAAGCAATTGGCAGAATGAGGTGGGTTCGAGTCTTAGACGGACCTCTGTTCTAACGAGGTTATTTATAGATCAGCCTTGTTGACCAGTCCTAAAAAGCACAAAAGCTAGTTAGTTCAAGGGCTTCCTACCGATCACTTGCATCCAATTAACGTCAATCAAAGTGCATTACGATGTTGAGTCAACTAATCTGGTGGCCACAGTGCATCGAGTGCTGATCGAGTTCTTTCGTAGTCTTCTTCCCAATCACCAGCCACCCAGCCAGCTAGCCAGCTAGCCAGCCGCTAGCCAGCCAGCCAGCCGAATTCAACATCAATTCTTGGTCATTATGAAATAGAAGTGATATGCCTTCTTGGATGACGAACTATGACGATCATCTGGAGTACATTGAACACTTCTCCAGTCAGTCAGTCAGTCACTCACTCACTCACCAAACAAGCAAGCAAGCAAGCCAATTTTAATCTGATAAACAGCTAGCAAACACACTCATTTGTAAACATTCATCACATTCATCCAATGTATT